TGCTTCCCACCATGGTAATGGACTGAACCTCTAACACTGCAAGCCAGCCCCAATTAAATGTCATCCTTTATAAATGTTGCCTTGGTCCTGTCTCTTTACAGCAATGGAAACCCTAACTAAGACACTGAGACCATTTAACCTACCCCACTACATATCTCTTTATTAAAAACTTACTTTTCAATCTATGAATATTATTGGAAATGTAAATTGCCTTTTAATAGGCATATTCCAGAAATGAACTGAAGAAATAATTCTCCAGCAAACATATCCGTGCTTGCAATAATAATTTATCTTACAATATAAGTACTGCTTGCCTTCTGCACTACCACCCTCAAGGTACTCAGCTATAGAAGTTGTGGGGGATGAATGAGAAGCATCATTTCACTCATTATGCACAGACAACACGGGAGTGCAACAGCTGGAGCCCAAAGGACCCACTGATTAAGAGGAAATTTGTGGAAAATATTGCTAAGAGCAAAGGACGACTGAGACATGAGGCAGGGAGGCGCAAGGAGTTGGTAGAAGAGGTTGGAAGACAACTCAAGATGGAACAGTGTAGCCTAGGGTGTCAACTCTTCCACTGGGCACTCCTAAGGCGAGTGGTTGGCGTGTCAGGCAAAGACTGCGTGGTAGAGCAAAGGCTAGAGGAGCAACCAAGGACGGAGCTCGTCTTCCTTCTCTCCTCTTTAGGGAGACAGTATCTTTCTATGTAACCCAGGCTGATCTCAAGCAGGAAATCCTACTCCACCATGCTAAATGCTGGGACGACAGGCATGTACCACCATGCCCAGGTAAAGACAGAGATTTTAAGGTCTTGTCAGCCAGGCCTCTAATTTTGAGCTTATCCTGAAAACACTGAGGAACTACTGATGAGTTGTAAATTTTTAAAGTTAAATAGTTCCTAGGTAGAGTTGGGTGTACTGGCTCACACCTGTAATCTGAACACTTAAGAATCTGGGGATAAATGCAGTTACTGTTACAGGTAGGCTGTGGTCCTTTAAAAAAAATCTGTATAAGACTTATTTTTAGTTTATATGAATGAGACACCAAAGAATGAAAGTGTTTGCTATAGGATCCAGGATGCTTGGTGCTGTGCAGACACTGTGTACAGAATGGCTAGAGTAGTTAAATCCTTCACTCTGCTGAATGCTAATGAGGTTGGGAAGAGAATACTCAAGTTGCTGTAAAAAGACTAGAAACCATCCTTAGCCCTGTGCCCACATTCACTCAATTGAGAAGGCATAAGAAGCAGGTATAGAAAGTGGTAGCGCCAGTACCTTCCAGGCAGACATGATGGCACATGTCTGTGATCCTGACACGCAAGAAGCTGAGACAGGAGGATCAGCAGTTTGGACCACTTGACAAGGTCCTGTGTCAAGCAGACAGACAAACAACCATCAGAATGTCTAACTGTGCTCCATTAGGAATTTCACTAAGTTCTCTGTCATCCTAAGGTACTACTTTTCTCTCTTCTCTGATGTGAAAATGCAGCTCAGGCATCTCTTGCTCAACCACGCAGACTGGGGCTTTCTGACTGATGTTACAGGAGTCCGGCACTGTGAGAGCTGAGGGGTCTTGAAGCAATCTAACCCTCCTGTTGTGCTCACTAACAGAAGAACTGAGTCCCCAGAGGGACAGCATTGAGCTCTATCTATCATTAGATGCTTGTGTACAGGTGAATGAGATCTGATTTATCTATTGAGACAACCTTGACCATCCTGTCTCCCTGCTCCTGCCTCTACTTTCTGAGTGCTGGGGAAGCAGGCCTGTGTCACCACTCTAAGATAGCACTTTCAAATGCACTGGTAACTGATTAAGAGCACTGGCTGCTCTTCTAGAGGACCAGGGTTCAATGCCCACATGCTGACTCACAACTGTCTGTAAGTCCAGTTCCAAGGGATCTGATTTCCTCTTCTGGCCTCCGTGGGTACTGCACACACATGGTACACACATGTGCACACACATGGTACACAGACATATGTGCAAGTGAAACACCCCAAGACGTAAAAGTTAAAACATTTTAAATCAAATTCACCAATATATAAATGTTTCAGTCAGAACCCCCAGCACTAAAATAATTTACACAGTAATATTTTATTATAATAACAATTTATTGAAAGAAATGGCATCCTCAAATCTCAAATACATAGAAGACCCTTGTAAAATAAGCAATACAAACATATTCTTCCAGAAGGAAATGATTAACAACACCCCCCCTCCAAGCAGGAAACACCTCCTCCTTCTCCTCCTTGTCTGAAGGATGGCTGAGCGCTGATTATGAGGATCAGCATCAAGGCACATAATTGAATTAAAAAGCCTACTATAAAAGACATCCCTAAGTAATCAGGCCTGGAGAAGGGTGCTGACGGCTAAACCCTTCTCCATGTTGTCTGCATCTGTATGCAATGCGACAGAGGGGGAAAGCCAGGCTACGTGGGTATTCTTACACTCGCTGCTAAGACACAGAAGGGACAGCAGCATCAGGATCCCACTTTCCTGAATGGTTTGCATTGGAGAGGAGGAAAGAGCTATTTGGTTCTGTATCTCCTGTTAGGGATGCAGTACAGGGTGTGGGATTATCCCCAGAGTAAGTCTGTTCAAGTTTCAGATTAAAACTTTGTGACCTAGCAGCTATGACAGACTTAGAATACAGTGTCTCTGATAAAAGCATTTGTTACTCTCACTACCCAGTCTGCAGACTTCAATACACTCTTATTTTAAACTAAGTCACAGGGTACAAAATACATACTCAGAAATACACTAGTATAACATTTATTTGAGTTTTTAATAGTACTTAGCAGATTTACTTTAAAATTTCAGTTACAAAATACTTTTGGTAAAAAAATAGTTCTTACTATGATAAAAATTACCTTATTAAAAACATCCCCATCTACATCTAAAACCTCCATTTCCAAGATACTATTTAAAAAAAACTTTAAAAATTTACTTTTAACACAAAATAATTCATTTGTATCTTACTTTATGAAATAGCCTATAACAAGCCAGCTGGTGCAGTTTTGTCCCGTTCCATTATAACTTTCATGCTTAAACTTAGCACCCAAATGTACTATGATCCATAATTCACTAAAATCTTTATATATAAAAAAGGAGTTGGAGGACAAATGGGTCTCCAACAGCTAGCTAGTTTTCTTCTCTCTTCTTCTGTCAAGGTCTCACCAACTATCTCAGGCTGGCCTCAGAGACTCAATCCTCCTGCCCCAGCCTCCCAGTGCCTCCCAGGCTACTGCGCCTACTCTGAGTTAAGTAGCAACGCATCCTTTCTGCAATGTAATTTAAAGTCCAAGTTCAAATGCAAATAAGACCACCAGAATTAAGATTCCAAGAACAACACAAAAGAACAAAAAAATTAGGCAAAAATGTAAAGCTTATCCTGGAGAATTCCACTTTTCTGCATGTACCAGAATGGCACTTGTCTCCAGCTCAGGCCTTGATCTGCCCTCAGCACAAATACTCTCCACAAAGCACTTCTAAGTCCCCCGGGACACCGACTCCCAGACATCGGGGCTATGTAGAAGTGTTTACTTCCGTGCAGAGAGCCATCAGCTTATTCCTGTCAGCACCTCCATGAAAACTCGGAAGTGAGGACACTAACGGGGGACACAGAGCTCCGTCACTGTAAATGAAGAGACTCATTTGGGGGCCTCAGTCCTCAGACCTACTGCACTCCTTTCTGTGCTTTGTAGACTGAGGTTAATCCTGGCAATGTATTCTTAAATGTCTAACTGCCAGGAACATCCCCACAGAGCATCACTGTTTTTGCTATAATGTAGCCAGGAGCATTAGTCTAATGAACTCATCTATCACCTCCATGTAGTCTCCAAGTTCACCATTCACTGTGCTGAAAACTTTATATAAATCATACCTCTTCCACTGACACTGCTTAAAATTAACCAGGCACCTGCCAGTCTTATTCTGTCAGAGATACAGTACTCCAGCCGCTCAGCTCACAGCGAGGGAGGGACTCCAGAGTAGGCCCACCCAGACTTTGGCTACAACTTGAGAACATGCTTCTTAGCTCTTTGGAGCTTCGGTGAAGCTGTGACTCTCCCCTTCTAGAAACAGAACCTATTTCTAACATTGCTTTTAGAGGCACGCTCCTAAACCTGATCTTACTGTGGGGTTTACCAGGATCTGGATCCAGCCAGGTCTCTCCCTTTCTGGTCAATACAGACTTTGGTGCTCTAACCTTTCACTCCCCTGACCTGTGTTCTTTTCGTAGCAGGTCTGCATACACACTAGTACACTCCATCCCCAGGACCTGTGAACTCCAGCACCTGGAGGCAGAAGCAGGGAGACCAAACAGATCACAATCACCCTTGGCTACTTAGCATGTCTGAGGCCAGCCTGTGCTACATAAGACCTTGTCATAAGATATACAATGACACATGCACACTCTGTATATCAAATAGATGACAGTCATTTAACAGCATTCAGTGTTCTACTCTGTAAACAATCAGGAAATATTTTACACTCTAATGTTCAGAGTGAGCAAGAGAATTTTTATAAATATGTTTAAAGCATCAAAAAGGAAATGGAAATGGCTTTTTTGGTTGTTGTTTCTGGTGCTGGTGGTAAATTAGGCTTTGGTTCTAAATTTGATTCCTTCAAATGCTAGCAATCAAAATCAATTTTAATGTTTAATTTAGGAAGATATCAACCCAAAAAGAAAGGCGGCAACAGACGCTAGTGCAATCGTGTTTTAAAAATGGCTATTAACGGGCGGTGGTGGCACACACCTTTAATCCCAGCATTTGGGAGGCAGAGGCAGGTGGATTTCTAAGTTTGAGGTCAGCCTGGTCTACAGAGTGAGTTCCAGGACAGCCAGGGCTACACAGAGAAACCCTGTCTCGAAAAACCAAAAAAAAAACCAAAAAAACAAAACAAAAAACAACAAAAAAACCAAACCAAACCAAAAATACAAAAACAAAACAAAAAAAATGGCTATTAAAAAGCAGGATCCTATTTGCTTTTGTGGGACAAACACAGGTCAGAACATACTCATGAATTTCCTAATGCACATGTAAAGCTCCAGAACCAATTAGACGCACACTATGAACTTACAGGTTAGTCACAGCGCAGATACCTTCCAAACACTGAACTAAAATCTGTTTCTGTTCTGGTGTTGAATGGATTATAGAGTTATCTTAAACATGTGCTTTAAAAAAATGTGTGTGTGTGTGCGCATTTGTGTGTGTGCTCGTTTGTGTGTGTGTGTCCCATGGAGGTCAGAAGAGGGTTAGATTGCCTGGAGCTAAAGTTGCAGGCGGTTGTGAGCTGTCTAATGTGGGTGCTGGAAACTGGACTTGGGTCCCCTGCAGGAGTAGCAAGTGCTCTTAATTCCTGAACACCTCCCTCGCCCCCAGTGAACATGCACGTAGTAGTCTGTCCCTGAGTATTAAACATCTCTAACAGTCTTAATTCCAACATGGCCTGAGGAAAGGGCAAAAGGAATTTTCAAAAATGACCAGGATACTGTGATTTTTCAATTATTCATAAAGCTAGGGAGACAAAAGAACAAGTAAGCAGCAGTCGACATTTCTAGAACTCTAGGACAGAGTCCAGAGGGATGTCAAAATCCATGGCAATGATTTGAAATCCAGCAGAAATCCCTGTTTTCTACTGTGAAGCTTTTATTAGAAGCATGGAAAGCTATTTCCCACATAAGCAAACAGGAGCACTCGGCCACTAGGGAACAGGGCAGACCCTGGAGTTCGCCTGTGTAAAATGTTTGAAAGCACTCCACCTCAGTAGGTTCATTACAGAGTGTTTTCCATAAATATTTTAAATTGTTTTGCATGTAAGAACAGGCTAAAAATGATTTTACACTTCAGAAACTGTTACTTTAATAACTTGACTAAATGTCTTAATCTTATGTGAGTCCTCTATTCCTCACTTTGGAGAACTTTTCTTACCTGTAGAAGTCCTTTTCTGAAGAAACTACTCAACTCATAGCCTGCTGCCAGCTCCTGAGAATGGCACACCAGTAAATCTAGAGCTCTTTGAAGGTTCCAAGTCCTGCATTAAAAGTGGCCACGGACATCAATATTTATCATATATCAACAGGGTGTGTGGCAGTAAGCATCAACACTGTTTTCACATCTGCAAAGTAATGACAGATGTCCTTTTGGAAGCACTGTCTCACCTCTGTACTCGTCCACAAACAGCCACTTCTATAAAGAAAGACTGCCAACCCCCAGTGGATCCTTGCTAAGATGTCTCAGTGGTGGGATGGTGGCATTTCTTAAGAGGAACTGTCATTTATTCTTTTTTGCAATCTCTCCTTGAATGTACACCACAAGCCCACTCACTATGTTGTAAGAAGCTGCTGAGCCAATATTCTGCTTTCCCTGACAACCACTGGTGTTCAGAAATGCCAATTTAGCAAGGATTCCGGGGAAACATGAGAGTAAGTCAAAGGTGAGACAGAGCTTAACATTAGACAAGTTCTCAAAGACAGAGACAGAGATGAAGAAAGATGATGGCTTCCACTACTGTTCGGGTTTTAAACCCTTTCCTTACCTACTTATTCTAAATACAAAGGTATGACTAACACATCAAATGTTTACAACACAGGGTCTGTACAATAGTGTCAGGCTGGCTGTGAGGGTCAGATTCTCTTATGAGACTCTGGTACGGTTCCTGCGTGAAGGAAAGGAAAGATGGTGATTTCCAACTATCAGCGAGAGATCTTACTGCTGTCTGGGAGCAAACCCAGACAGAGGCACACCAGCAGGGTCAGACCTTGTCTCCTTAGGCCCTCGTGCTTTGCCAGCCTCTGGGCCAGCAACACTGCCTCCTTCCTTGCCCTCTCCAGAGCCATGCAAAGGCTCCCGCATGTGTAAAGCAAATCCCACTTTATGTCCCTCTGCATCCTGGAGAACAGAGTTCAGATATACAGTCCCTAAAGTAAGGCAATTAAGTTGGGGGGCTGCTCTACAGTTCCATCCTGTTTATACCATACCCCAAGAATGCTATCTGCATGAAAGCTGGAAGCCACAACACTTACTTCTTTTTGATTCTACCCAACCAAAAGCTCTATTGCACATGAGACTATCAAAAGGCTAGCTACAAAGGAGAACTATTTCAAGAGTGCACCGCTTTCTCCTTTCAAGGTAGAAAATGTTGCACATTGAAACTGGCAAGACACTATTCTTCCTTTTATTAACTTTCCCAGCAAACATAAAGACTCAGATTAACTTGCTCAGTCACCAGAAAGACTCAGACCATTGACAACACACACACCTTTCTGCTTCTTAAAGTCTTCTGCAAAAGCTACCGCTTCAGACAAACTGTAGAAGAGGAGATTTTCTTCTTCCTTTTTGCAATATTCTCCTCTGGCTAAAGAATCCCTCACAGAAGGATTGCACTGAGCCAGTAAAACCTGGATACCAATGGCTTCATAATCCCGGCGAACTTCTTTCAGTGTGTGGATCCCTGATGTATCTAAAAACTGTATTGCACTACAGTCAATCACGATAGTGTGCACCTCCAGGGGATCATGGGAAAGCTGCAGTGAAACTTCATCCGGGTCCCCACGAAAAGTCACTGTTTCCTCTTTGAGTTTCCTCTTTGCTGCCTTTTTCCAAGCTGCCTTTATCAAGACTGGGTTTAGAGTTTTCTTGTATAAAGCTGATTTAAAGCATTCTTTGTTTATGTAGTAGAGAGGGGCTATGAAGCGGAAAACCTTGATGCCTGACTTACTCCGAAGGTTCTTGTAAGTGGAAATGGATTCAAAGATCTCAGATTCTTCTTCCAAACCAAGCAGTGAAATCTTTGGCTTCTGAGTACGGAGGATCACACAAAACATTGAAAAACAAACCCCTACAAGCAAGCCTATTTCGGTGCTTAACAGAGCAGAGGACAGCATAGTCACAAACCAGATAACTGTGTCCATTCTGCTGAGCCGCCACATCTTTGGCAGGTCTCTAAATTTCAGAAGTGCACCCCGGAGATTTACAATAGTGATCACACCAAGGACACACTTTTGAAGGGAATAGAATAAAGGAGCTATTACCAGAAGGACCAACAAAAGAACAAGGGCTGTCACTATAGCTGACATCTGCGTCTGGCAGCCTGTTGACTCTTTAACCAATGTCTTTGCAAGTGCAGCACTAGTAGTTATGCAGTGGAAGAAGGAAGGTATGATATTGCAAAAGCCAATGGCATACATTTCTTGGTTTGCTTTGACCGTGTAACCATGCTTCTTGGCAAACATCTCAGAAAGTGATACAGTGATAGCAAAACCAATGATAGAAATAGCAATTGCATCTACAGCCACATTAGGAATGAGGCTCCAGTCTGGTGCTTTGGGTGGCATAAACCCAGTGGGGATCTGTCCAGAAATACTGGAATTATAACTCTCATTTAGTTTTCCAAAATGAGAAGCCAATGTGGCCGCCACGACGACAATGAGCTCGGTGGGAATTGGTGCCTTGAGCTTGTCCTTGAAGTGTTCATTGAGTTCTTTGGTTGGCACAAGGACCAGGAGACACAAAAGGCTGGTGATGAGGTCACAGATGTTGGTCTTATGGATGTTTCTGAAGATGTGGATCCAAGTAGTGATGACTGAGCCAACACCATGACTCCGAGGAAGGCGCAGCCCAAGGAGGTACTTGACCTGGGATGTGAGGATGGTGAAGGAGGCACCAGTGACAAACCCGCTCAGCAAGGCATCAGAGAGGTAGACAGAGACAAAGCCTACTTGAAAGAAGCCCATGGCTACCTGGAAAGGGAGCATATGCAAGCGTTAGGCAGAGACGGGGACGAGCTCCTTGGCTTCCTACTACCTCAGCCTTCCTTGCTCGGCTCCTAACTATCAGAGTACCACAGAGTGTCAGCACTAAAAGAAATGCAATCATACATTACAATTTTCCATGTCACTACGAAAGAAAGCTCTCCGTAGTCAAACTCATTATCCCAACTATAGTAAGGACTTGGGATTTCTACCTTATTCAATAATTTAAAACTAGAACACAATTCAGATTGCTTCCAAAAAGAATTGTTTTCAAGGTTCCAAATAAATGTATACAAACTCAAATTGGAGCCAGGCAGTGGTGGCGCACGCCTTTAATCCTAGTACTTGGGAGGCAGAGGCAGGCAGATTTCTGAGTTCAAGGCCAGCCTGGTCTACAGAGTGAGTTTCAGGACAGCCAGGGCTACACAGAGAAACCCTACCTTGAAAAAAAAAAAAATCAACCAACCAACAAAAAGCAAACAAACTCAAATTGGAGAAATTCTTCTACTTCAGAATATATTTTCTCCAAATTAAAAATTATTATCATTAAACTGAATGTTTTTAATTTTTAGTTTTAGAGTTAAGGTCTCATGGTCCCAGGGTAGCCTTAAACTTTGCCAAAGATGACCCCAAACTTTTGATCCTCCTGCCTCCACCTCCTAAATGCTAAGATTACACGCATGGACCATGTTACAACTGAAAGTAAAATTTAACTGGTAAAAAAACTAGATTCACATCAAAACTGAATCCCACTCTGTTGTGCATCCAAGTTAGCAATAATGCTATATCCTTCTCTGCCCACATCCTCAGAGTCCTGTTACCTCTTCCTCTCCTTGGTGAAACACACTAAGAAGTCAACTTGGACTCTAGGAACACAACCCATTGCCCCTTCCTTCTGTCTCTCCCTCCTTATCTAAGCACCAAATAAAGCCGGCTATTCTTCCCCTTTCTCTCCTGGCTCCAAATGCCTGTAATAGAGAGCATGTTTAATGCTAGTATTGATTTCTGGATGCTAAAAGGCAGGGACATAATCATAGCAACAGACTAGTGGGTTCTACAGGATACTCAAGGAGGTTTTAATTTGTAATCATTTCTCCTGGATGGTAAAATGATGGTCCTCAAGTTTTTCTCTCCTTCTTCATCAATCCAAGGGAACTATTAAATTTAGCAGAAGTCTCTCAGTAAAGTAGCTGCTCTTAAGCAAGACAAGAGCTAGCAATAATGTCAACCACTCTGGTCTTTCTCTTCACCCTTCCCCACTCCCTGCCCCATCCTACTGCCCTCTTGTCTGACTATTCATGGTGATTTGGCGAAGAATCATCCACAATAATCTTAAGCAAACTCAGTGTTTCCAACATACAAAGTTATGAATTGTACTAGTGGGCCTGAGGACCCTTTTCTGATCTTATTTTTTTTTTAATAATAAAAATCTGGCTGTTGCTGCTTAAGAGGTAGCCTAGGATGAGCCCAGTTTTACAGTGGGGTATGTGGTCAGGCTTTGGGTTCTGCCATTTATCTCTTTGACATTCAGTCAGTGGTAGCCTTGTTACAACCCCAGCAGCCTACATACCAGAGATTTTATGTATAATGATTACTTTCACCAGAAATAACCAATTGTTACGTCTCCCTCTTTCTTTCTTCTTCCCCTGGTGTCTCAGGTTTATACTATGTAGTCCTAGATCTTGCTCTGAAACCAGGCTGTCCTCAAACTCCTCTCCTGCCCCTACCTCTTGAATGCTGGGCTACTATGCCCAGCCTAAATGTTCATTTCACTATTACTTACCTGATAAATTCCAGCCATGAATGTCACAGTGCTGCCAACTTTAATTGCGTAATAGCTTTTGTCACAGAGTCCGTCTAATGTATGGTTTACGACCACAGATCCATTTGAAAGTGCTGCTAGCGAAGACGGCGTAGCGGCAGTGTCAGGGCAGGCTTTATGGAGTTCTCGGTCAACTACCTCACCAATCATAAGGCACAGTATTCCAAAAATGCCCACAGAGATGTGGCGGGAGGTACCAAACAGGAAATAAATAATGCTGGCAAAAAATGATGAATATAGACCATAGATAGGCTCCTGGCCAGCCAACAGGGAGTAAGCAATGGACTGGGGCACCAACAGTATACCCACAATCAGGCCAGACATCACATCTCCTAAAATGTTTTTCTTCAGATCATATTTTGGGAGCCACCGCAATACAGGAAGGAAATCGAAAATCCCATTTCTGACTTTGGTTGCACTACACTGGCAACTCTTCTGGAGCTTTCTGATGACAAACTGCTTGATGTTAGTATCTGGTTTCTCATGAAGTTCCATGTGGATCCTACGGAAAGCCCTCCGTGGATCACTGGTCTCACACTCCCTCAAGTCAGTGCTTGATCCTCTTTGAGCCTCTAGGGGGAGCTCAGATGGGAAACCATAGGCTTCTTCAGGCAAGTCCCTAGGTGAAAGGTCACGTTGCTCTTTATTTTCTGAAGACATTTCTGGAGATTTTACTTCCTGCCCCAGAGGGAAAAAAAAATGCTAATTTACAACCTAGTTCTCAGTGCGCACATATATTAGCAGTCTTACTTACCACCTGTGAGGTTAAAGAATGGCTTGGGGGTCGGCGTTTTCTCATGAGACAGGGTCTCACTATACAGCATTGGCTGACCTGTACATGTAATGCAGATCAAGCTAGCTTCAAACTCACAGATATCTACCTGTCTCTACCTCCTTTGTATTGGAATTAAAAGGATGGGCTACTGTGCCCAAACTGGGGATAGATAACCTGCATATCTACCCCTTTAGTGAGGCTCGTTTGGCCCTAGCCTGAGAAGTTAGAGAGAAAGGCCAGAAGTGGACTATAAACAGCAAGTCAAAATAATTCATTACTATACAATTTCTTAAGAAAGTCCTCAAGAAAGAAAGACAGTAATCACTAAGGATTCTCCCGTGTATCTTCCTGGATCTCCTGAAGATTTTTCTTAAAAATAAAAAAAAAAAAATTATGAGGGCCAGGTGATAGTGGTGCACACCTTTAATCCCAGCATTCGGCAGTCAGAGACAGGTGGATCTTTGTGAGTTTCAGGCCAGCCTGGTCTCCAGGGCAAAAGCATGAGGTGAGGCAGCCTTTCTCGGTTCCATATGCTACCAATGGTCTTCACAGGCTAAGTAGAGAATAATGTTGCCCAGAACCTCCACTTGGAAGATAAGCGAGAGGCCCTACATCTCTGGCCCTGACATTACTCATCTAGTACCAAAGGACCTACTTACCACTAGGAACTAGAACAGAACAGAACAAAACAATAAAAGGAACAAAAAGACAACAAAAGGTCTTATACAAGATAAAAAAAAAAACCCAGCACCAACAAAAAAATAGGCTACTAAAGGAACAGAGTAAATTGTTCAGTGAATATGTCACAATTTGAGCTTGGCCTAGCATGGCCATCTCTCTGTCAAGACTTCATTTCATAAAATCCAGCTGAAATGCTACCATTACTGCACAACACCAATCAATCCCCTTACCCCGAATGGTTCCGCTCTCCCTCTGTGTCCTGTGGCATTGTGTACCTGTGAACGCAAGTAGGAGCCTCTGCAACCCCTGCAGGAAAGGGCATGTCTTTCTGTCCACCAACATGATCACCACCAAGTGTATCACTGAGATTTACAGAACTTTAGCAGGTTTACAGAAATGTTCAACCAAAGAACAAACATACTGTGACTATGGCCAAACAGAGACAAAAATAGATGGAGAACTCAGGAAGTTTGAATTGACAGAAAAAAAAAAAAAAACCTTTTATAGACCTATCATTACCAAGGTGTTACAATCTAAGAGTCCATATCCCATTTTAAAACACAGGATGCAAAAAAAAAAAAAAATCACCCATTACTTAGGTTGAACAAGAGAAACGTAATAATTACTTTGATGGTCTTTAGGAGAAAAGCCAGATCTAGAAGACAACTGACCCTGAGAAAGTCAAACAGGTTAGTGGGCTGTCTTCTCACTTCCTGCTCTCCTGAGCATGCTTGAGTTACTCCCTGTCTGGAGCAGCCTTTGGTCAGGAGGTTTTTCTAAATCTAAGGTAAGAAAAAGAAATACTGAAACACTGTAACTAATAATAACCAGATCTAAATTTCACCTCTATGGCTCTAAGGAAAATGAAAGCAAACTTAAAAAAGAAGTCTGTGTCTGAAGACATGGACAGTGTACTCACATAACATAAAATAAATAAATCTTAAAAAAAAAAAGTCTGAGAAAGCAAACTAATAATGAAACAGAAATGCTAACGGTGAGAAAAACAATAGAAATGGAGAATTCCTTTGACAGGCTCACCAGAAATTTAACTGACAAAGACTCAATGGACTCAAAAGACAACTTAATAGAAACTATGTGTATAACTCAACAACAACAACAAAAATGTTGACTGTAATAGAATAGCCAAGAGTTTGGTATGTGACATATCAAGTATTTAAACATAGGAAACACTGAAGTAGAGGTCCAAAAATCTTGAGAATACCTAGAAGGATGGGCAGAAAAGCAACTCCCAAACCATCACCACCACTTACCAATCACTGCTGCTCAGAGGGTGCTTCTGAAGGCAGACACACATCACTTACGGAGGAACAAAGACAGGAATTACAGCACGTGTCCTGGAATTGATGGAAGCCAGAAGATGATGTCTTTAAAGCAGTAACTTTATGCCTGGAGTGCACAATAAAAAGAAAATCCTTTAAAGGATGGAGACACTGAATTTATTACCTGAGCTCAGTGTGTGTCCACATATGCGGGAGTGAGAGAGCCTGCATGCTCACCCCCTCACCCCAGGGGCTTTTTTTTTTAAGATCTATTAGGATAGTGTTCGACTTTAAATATACCAATTTTGGAAATAAAACATTTAAGAACCCACATTAATCACTATGTAGCTGTGGGTGGTCTGTTAATTATGCAGACCAGGTTGACTTCTGTACTGGCTGGTTTTGTGTCAACTTGACACAAGCTGGAGTTATCACAGAGAAAGGAACTTCAGTTGAGAAAATGCCTCCATGAGATCCAGCTGTAAGCATTTTCTCAATTAGTGATCAAGGGTGGGAGGGCCCATTGTGGGTGGTGCCATCCCTAGGCTGGTAGTCTTGGGTTCTATAAGAAAGGAAGCTCAGCAAGCCAGGGGAAGCAAGCCAGTAAGTAACATCCTTCCGTGGCCTCTGCATCAGCTCCTACTTCCTGCCCTGTGTGAGTTCCAGTCCTGACTTCCTTTGGTGATGAACAACAATGTGGAAGTGTAAGTTGAATAAACCCTTTCCTCCCCAACTTGCTTCTTGGTCATGATGTTTGTGCAGGAATAGAAACCCTGACTAAGACAACTTCCAACTGATAGAGACCCACTTGCTCTGCCTCTCCCCGAGTGCTGGGGTTTGCGGAGTGCACCTCCATTCTCATCTAGATTTTTATTTTACTTCCTGTGTGTGCTCTGCCTGCAAGCATGTCTGTGCATTATTTGCAGCCAGTGGCTGTGGAGTCCAGGAGAGAGCATTGGGTCCTCTGGAATTGTAATTGCAGAAGCTTGTAAGCCATTACGTGAGTGATGGGAATTGAATTTAGTCCTCTGGAAAAGCAGCCAGTGCTCTTGTCTGCTAGGCCATCTCTTTTAGACTCCATAATTAAATTCTTTTTTTTTTGTTTTGTTTTGTTTTTCGAGACAGGGTTTCTCTGTGTAGCCCTGGCTGTCCTGGAACTCACTCTGTAGACTAGGCTGGCCTCCAACTCAGAAATCCGCCTGCCTCTGCCTCCCAAGTGCTGGGATTAAAGGTGTGCGCCACCACCGCCCAGCGAGAATTAAATTCTTATTGCTGTCATTTCTTGTTAAAAAAAAAAAAGGACACTACAGCGCTACAGTCCTTTGAGTATGTGGCTTATCGAGGAACTACAATGCTGACCCATCAGCCTAACACACTTGCAAAGACAGCCCCTGGGGAGGAGTAAGGAGAAGAGCTAAGGCAATTCACAGTGGCTGAGACCCAGGAGTGTGCATGCCTAGGCTCATGACACAGCTTTTTAAAACTTACCTTCTACGTGGTTACTTGTTTTCTTCTCATATATAACCATTTTTACTTCTTTCCCTCAAAGTATAAAAGACATTAAGTCTGAGCTCATCCACTGCGCATACAGACTCGCAGCTCAGGCATTACAGAGCTGTCCACACACTGATAATCAGATCTTGGATGACTCAATACAACACAAAGAACCAAGGCACAGAAAACTGAAATAAAACCTTCTCATTAGACCTAAGACTCAGATACTCATGCTAGCTCCTTTAGATCTCCATGTTGATATACTTACATTCCTGTATAAGCTTGTTTGCTGTCACTATTTCAAGTCAGGTCTAAAACCTCAAATCACCTACCCAGACAACACAAGTAAGATTTTTCTCATTAACCTCAAAAATTATGAGGTCAATTTTTATGATGATTCAAAACACTGGAATTTGACAACATATGCTCGGTGCTTCTTTACAGCTCTTTTTGGTGAGGCATACTTGGTAGAATCCGGGCACAGAAGCGAGCCTGTGTCCTGCAAACCCACTGCACACGGCTGTATGAGGAATGCTAGCGTGTATACCAACTGCCAGTCGGTTCCTTGTGCACTTCAGCCTGTTGCAAATGACACCCAAAGTCTCTGAACATGGCAAGACTTTCAGAGAGAATACTCTTGGAGAACGATGCCCAATGTTAATAGAACAATTCTGAATTTCTTCATCCATTCTGAGATATGTGCTATAAAGTCTGGATTAGCAAACTCTCAAGGAAAAGATTTCAGGTCCCCAGAACCTCTCATAACTAATGTCAATGGAAAATTCTTTGAGATAGCTATGACTCCAGTAAGCTGTATAATCCATTTTGAGCTATCTGTGTCACAACTGTCAGGTTATTAACTGGGCAGACCTGACTACAGTGTCCCTTTACAGGGATTGTTCTGGAAAGAGTCCTATATCTTGGTCTTTCAGCAGTCCCTGAATAGATACATTGTATATGACTAGTATAATACACATTTATAATCTCAACACTTGGGAAGTAGAAGTAGGGGGATCAACAGTTCAAGGTTATCCACAACCTATACATTAAGTTTGAGGCCAGGGCTACATGAAACAAACAAACCTATATATACGTATACATCTTATTTTGCAACTGAGGGTATGTTCTGTATTTTCATCCCAAATATGATATATGACCTATGTCTGTTGTCTACTGCCACACTGATCAGTGTCTACTTTCCCACTTGTCTAGGAACACTAAGGGCAAGAACAGCCTCTGTGGTGACTTACCACCATGATTTCAGCAGTCTAGTTCTTTCATCAAGTCCCAGTAGACATCTAGTCCAGTGCTTCTCAACCTGGGGGTCTTCAACCTGGGGGTCTTGACTCCTTTGGGGGTCACCTGAGACTATTGGAAAACACAGAGATTTGGGTATGTCTCAGAATCCCTCTAAGGCTCTCTCTACTACTAAACAGAAATACTGGTATAGTCTCCCTCTAAGAGCAAACCCTGGAGCCTCTATTTTCTTTCCCTCGTGCACCCATGTTCCAATCAGCAGTTATGAACACTGAGCAGCCGGTGCTGGGTTACAGCCTTCAGACTCCATGCCTTTTTCTGACATCTCGATCTATTTCTTTGGGAGGTGAGCAAGTGGAGTGTTGGGGCTTGAACCCAGGCCCTCATACATTCTAAGCATGTGCCCTACAGAAGACACTCCTTTTGAAATAGAAAACTGAATGTCTGCATGCAGAAGAATGAAATCAGACCAATATCAATCATCTTGCACAAAACCTAAGTCCAAATGGATAGAAGACGTCAATATGAAGCCCATAATACTGAAAAAACTTGTAGAAGAAAACACAGGCAGTATCCTACAGATATAAGTGTAGCAAAGGTCTTTCTGAATAGGACTGCATTCGCTTAAGGATTAAGACCAGTAACTGACAAGTGGATCCTCATAATGTTAGAAACCTTTCTGCACAGCTAAAGAAACAATAGGATGGACAGGAAGCCCATGGAATGAGAGAGAATCTCCAGCAATATATCTGACAGGGTTGTCGTAGTTAACAGTTTCCATTGCTGTGAAGAGACACCATGACCAAGGCAACTCTTATGAAGGACAACATTTATGGGACTGGCTTACAGGTTCTAAAATTCAGTCTATTATCATCATGGCAGGACGTACGGCAGTGACCAGGCAGGCATGGCACTGGAGGAACTGAGAGTTCTACATCTTCACCCAAAGGAATCCAGGAGCAGACTGACTTCCAGGCTGCCAGGAGGGTCTCAAAGCCCACCCTCAAAGTGACACACTTCCTCCAACAAGATCACACCTCCTAATGACGGGCCAAGCATATTCAAATCACGACAAAGGGTAAGACCCAGAATATACAAATAACAAAACAAAATAAAAAAACAGAGTCAAAAACAAAACAAAACAAAAGCCCAAACAACCCATTTTTAAAAAATGGGCTTGGGAATCTGAACAGAGTTCTCAAAAGAAAAAGAAACAGACATGTTTAAGGACTACCTAAATCATGTTCATCACCCTCAGCAATGAGGGAAATGCAAACCAAAACAACTTTTGAGATTTAATGTTACCCCAGTCAGAATGGTTACCACTAACAACTTACAATAAATGCTGGAAAGGGTTTGGGGAAAGGAATCCACTGATGAGGTTGCAAACTGATCCAGTCCCTCTGAGAATCAGTGTGGAGAATTCTTTAAAAGCTAAGAATAGCACACGCCTTTAATCCCAGCACTTGGGAGGCAGAGGCAGGTGGATTTCTGAGTTCGATGCCAGCCTGGTCTACAGAGTGAGTTCCAGGACAGCCAGGGCTACACAGAGAAACCCTGTCTCGAAAAAAAACAAAAACAAAAACAAAAAAAGCTAAGAATAAATCTACTCTATGGCCTGGCTATGCCACTCCTTGGCATATACTTGAAGGATTCAATACCCTATTATACAGCCGCTTATCTGGAGGACCTGAGCTGGGTCTAGCCTCGGCAAAACTACTGGCTGCTTCCCTCTTTGGCACCTTGCATGGCACCTTCTGGTATTATAAAAGCTAATCCTCAGGGAGGACTTATTTTCCATTTATGTTCATTGCTGCTCTAGTCACAGTAGCTAGGGAATGGAAACAATCTCAATTTCTCTCAACATACTAATGGACAATAAAACTATGATACATATACACAGTGGAATACTATTCAGCTACAAAGAAAATGAAATTGTGATAATTTCAGGTAAATGGATGGAATGAGAAAATATTTCATTGAGGGAGGTAACCCAGACCCTGAACACCACATATTTCCTTTCATCTGTGGTGTCTAGCCCCAGATCTTCATGTGTGAGTGTATATAACTTGGAGTAACACAAAAACCTACAAAGTCAAAAAGGAGTCTAGGAGGAGGAGGAGGAGGAGCCCTAGAGAGGGGAATAACAGGACATATGCTTCAAGTTGTTGGCCACTGTGGTGGTCACTGAGCAGATATGGCCCCAACAGACTCATATGTTTGAATGCTTGGCCCACAGAGAGTGGCACTATGAGAAGTGTGGCCTTGTTGGAGGATGTATGTCACTGTGAGGGCAGGCTCTGTGGTCTCCTATGCTAAAGCTATGCCTAGTATGGTACACAGGAGTACAGAAGGAGTTCTGCTACCTATGGATCAAGACCCTAGTTTCTCCAGGACCATGTATGCCTGCATGCCGCCATGTTTTCCCCATGATGACATGGGGGAAACCTCTGAACCTGTAAGACAGCCGTAAATTAAATGTTGTCTTTATAAGTGTTGCCCTGGTCATGATGTCTCTTCACAGGAGTAAAACCCTAACTAAGTCAGTGAGTCCAAGAGTCACCCAAAACAATATAGGCTACTGCTATTGCCCTCGGAGGTAAGTTTCTATTGATGTGCACTTCAGACACAGGACCCAGAGGATCCTAGCTTGATCAGACCTGAAAGCATCCTCCCTGAGGACTAGCTTCCATGGAACCATGCAAGCTTCCAAAGAAAGGAAAATACCAACAGTCCCACCCAGCTGGGATACCTGTGAACCACAATGATTAGCATAGCAAGAAACCCAGGGGTACAATAGTGGCACTCATATCTTTGTGAGTAACTTATAGCTGTCTAATTGGACTTAAGGCCTGCTGACAGGAGGAATTTATGCCCAGTATTGTAAACCTAGCCAACTACTTAGGGCTAGTGAAGTCATCAACCTGAGAGAAGGACTTACTGTCGGTAGTTTACTAATCCAGCATGATAACTGCATTCTAAATATCGTCTTATGCCCACAGATGAGTGTAGCTTTCACCCCTTATCAAAGACACTTCTCTGTACAGCAGATGGATGCAATTACAGAAAGCCACAATAGGTCAAAAGGCAGAGAACAAGTGACTGTAGGGTGTCGAGTCCCAGTACATACATCCACAGCACAACACCTGCACCTAAGGCTCAGGGGATATCGTGGAGGGGGGCGGGCAGAAAGAGGGCCAAAGGGCTGTGAAGTCGGCTGTGAGACTACATTAGAGAAATGCTAGGGAAGCTTCATCCATGATACCTCAATAGTGTGACTGCCTAAACGAGACCTGAACAGGACGACAGACACCAATAGACACTGGAGGGGGAACTCTCACTGAGTCCCACCCCGAGACAAAGAACCACAGGCAACTGAGGAATGCTGAGTGTGGGTGAATTAGTCTTCCCCAGGGATGAGCCTCCAAATGTGTTATCCAATACTAAATGGTCAGTCCTGAAATCATACACAGACAGGTAACACTAAACAGACTCAGCACACTCTATTTATATTAGCACAGTGAGTTTATATATTTATGTATCTGTAGATATATGTAACGATAGCAAAGAAAAAAAAGAAGGCAAACATTTGAGAAGTGAGGGGGAATGTGGGAGGGTTTGAAGGGAAGAAATCAAATGGAGGAAATGATATGTTTTAATTAAGAATTAAGATAAATTTATACTGTCCCTAGACCAAGCAGAGAGGGGCCACCCAGAATCCCCTCTGACAGACGATCTGAATTCTTGCTTAGGCTGCGAGGCTAAGCACTGCAAGGGAA